TTATTTTTTTGTCAATTTTGTCCCAATATTTCTAGGAGCCGGAAAGTAGGGGTACTCCTTATCTTCTCTATACCAACCATTGTTTCGATGAATATCAAATGTGTCATTCACATATTGTGAGGTCGTCCTCTCATTGTTTACGATGATTATCAACATGTGCCATTCACATGTTGTGAGGCATACCTCTCATTGAGATACAGTGGTAGCGGACTGAGTAAATTATTACATCCCTGGTTGAGTCTGATAAAGGAGTCGAATGGCGAAGCCGGTCTCCTACCCTCCCTCCTTTTTTTTCTCAATTTTATTATTTTAATTGCAATTTTATTGTTTTATGTTTTACTTTGAAATAAATTTTTTATGAAAAACTTGTGCAAATTTATTGTTTAAAAACAGGAGATTTTAGGGGTAAAAGTGCACAATTAAGAAACTAATGAGCAAAGTTTAGTGCTTGAAATAGGTGATTTTAGGGAGAAAAGTGCATAATTACAGAGAAAAAAATTGCAAAAAAGCAAAGTTTGCAATTTTAAATAGCTGATTTTAGGGGTAAAAGTGCATATTTTGACAAAATAAAGTGTTATTTTTATATTTTATTAAAACTTATGAATTTTAGGTATGCGTGCGTGTTTTTCGTATGCGCGTGTATTTTTAGGTGCGCATGTATTTTTTGACTACAAAATTTTATCCAAAAATAAATTGATTACAAATAATTACCAAATATCAATATTATTGTCTTCATCTTTTTTCAAAATAATTACTGGACTCTTCGGCTCGTCCGAAATTGCTAGTTTGTTTGATAGATCATTGGAGAGTTGATTCACCCATTTGCTAGCAAGTCGATCCTCTTGTTCAGGAACAAACTCGAGCAACTCCAATGGGTAATATCTGTCCTCTCCTCCAAATGGAAGGCGCTCAATGACACATTGCAAGTACGGATAACGTAAACGAATCCTGTGTCGAGCATAATAGTGAGCAGCAACGCTCACATTGTAAGGAAAAGGTAATCTCCCATAGGCAACGAGAGAATTTCCTCCATGTTGAGTAAGGCTATCTATACGAAAAGTTTTCTTAAAGCCATTCTGATCTTCATAAGTCGTTTGGACTTTTCGACCTAATATTTCCTTAAAGATAAGCACACGGTTATCAGGATGGTTGAGGTGGTCTCTTAAAGATTTTGCAGAGCACCCCAAAATTCGCGTGCATTCATCGATTACTTTATTGGAAGAGGAATGAGAATTCATTTTTTAAAGAATGATTTTTTTCCAAAAATTTCCCTCTTTTTATACTCCACATTTTTGATATTTTAAAAGTTTACATTTTGATATTTAGGTCAATTTTGTTCAAAAAGTTGAATTTTTGATTTCCACCCATTTTCAATAATCATTTGAAAAATTTTTCAGAATATGAGCTCATCTCCAGAAGAAGAATTTATTAAGTTTATGCACGGATCGTGCGAATATAGGCAATTTAACAAGAGGAAATATATGAACGCTTTGAGTCAAGCTATCAGAGATGGCGCTCAACTTGACTTGGGAGCAAGATTAAGTGTACTCATAAATTATTTCAGAGCTGGAAAATGGTGCCATGATTGTCTAAAGTTTGTTTTGAGTCGTTTGCAATGCGAAATTATAGTACCCAAATATGAACATAATTTTAAGTATGAATTTTATCTTTGTCCAGATTGTTTTAAAATTACAAAAAGTTATCTCGAAATACATAATAATTAATTATTTATCATATTGTTTACAATATTATTTACAAATAAATCTGTATTTTTGATCGTATTTAATAAATTGATATACTGATAAATTGTATAATTTTGGGATAGAAAATATATTAGGGAAATACAGTGGTGAGCACAAGTCTTTGAGAGGGGTGATTGGTATTGGTTAGAATTTCTTTTTACATTTTTAAAATTTTTTAAAAATGCATTAACAATACAAGAACTTATTGGTAATGCAAGACTATCAAAATAAAATATTTGATTTTTTTCTAAATAAAGTGTAATCCAATGTGAGCCATCTTTATCATGAGAGTCCAAGTTGACAATAAGAGCTGTAGGGCATTTCAAACTATTAGGAGAAGGGAGCAAGTCACAAGGGAAGCACCCCTTGAAAATTTTGCTCGTCTTTGAGTTTGATCTCAAAATTTGAGTTATCTGACTGCTGTACATTTCTTCGCAAAATATTTAATCTGACCCAATGTATTGATCGAAATTGATAAATAACAAGACTTATAATAAGAAGAATGTACATAGAAATCATTCCCCAACAAAATATATGTCCATATATATCTTGCGGTGACTCCTTACATAGTTGAATTTGAGGGAGACTACCAAAAGGTTGAGGAGCAGCAGGAACAGATATACTTGGAACAGTAATGTTCCTCTTTGAGGGATATCCCATTCTTTGTAAATATTCCCTATATTCTGGAAGGTTTTGAACATCTACGCTCCCGTCAGTACTTAGAGTATTAACACAAGGAGTAAAAACTCGAATTAATAATAAGACTTTTGCAATATTTTTAAAAAACATTTTTATTTAAAATGAATAGAAAATGAACAATTTTGAGTTTATATAGTGGTATCACTTGTTATTGATCGATTTTTGTCTAACATTATTAATGCATCTGTTTCTCCCATTACAATAAGCATAACTCCTCCTTCTGGAACAGGTTGACTAAATTTAATATTCACTGAAGTCGACCCATTCTTTATTAGATCAAAAGTTCCACCATTATCTTCACCGCTATTTGTAAGATTGAAGACATAGATACAGTGGGTTCGCCCATATTGTTGGTATGTTATCCCATTGTTATCTGGTGTACCAGAAAATCCTATAGCATCATTCATGTCGTGAAATGCTCTCACATATCGATTTTGACTATGGGTCAAATCGATATGTGAGAGCATTTCACGACATGAATGATGCTATAGGATTTTCTGGTACACCAGATAACAATGGGATAACATACCAACAATATGGGCGAACCCACTGTATCTATGTCTTCAATCTTACAAATAGCGGTGAAGATAATGGTGGAACTTTTGATCTAATAAAGAATGGGTCGACTTCAGTGAATATTAAATTTAGTCAACCTGTTCCAGAAGGAGGAGTTATGCTTATTGTAATGGGAGAAACAGATGCATTAATAATGTTAGACAAAAATCGATCAATAACAAGTGATACCACTATATAAACTCAAAATTGTTCATTTTCTATTCATTTTAAATAAAAATGTTTTTTAAAAATATTGCAAAAGTCTTATTATTAATTCGAGTTTTTACTCCTTGTGTTAATACTCTAAGTACTGACGGGAGCGTAGATGTTCAAAACCTTCCAGAATATAGGGAATATTTACAAAGAATGGGATATCCCTCAAAGAGGAACATTACTGTTCCAAGTATATCTGTTCCTGCTGCTCCTCAACCTTTTGGTAGTCTCCCTCAAATTCAACTATGTAAGGAGTCACCGCAAGATATATATGGACATATATTTTGTTGGGGAATGATTTCTATGTACATTCTTCTTATTATAAGTCTTGTTATTTATCAATTTCGATCAATACATTGGGTCAGATTAAATATTTTGCGAAGAAATGTACAGCAGTCAGATAACTCAAATTTTGAGATCAAACTCAAAGACGAGCAAAATTTTCAAGGGGTGCTTCCCTTGTGACTTGCTCCCTTCTCCTAATAGTTTGAAATGCCCTACAGCTCTTATTGTCAACTTGGACTCTCATGATAAAGATGGCTCACATTGGATTACACTTTATTTAGAAAAAAATCAAATATTTTATTTTGATAGTCTTGCATTACCAATAAGTTCTTGTATTGTTAATGCATTTTTAAAAAATTTTAAAAATGTAAAAAGAAATTCTAACCAATACCAATCACCCCTCTCAAAGACTTGTGCTCACCACTGTATTTCCCTAATATATTTTCTATCCCAAAATTATACAATTTATCAGTATATCAATTTATTAAATACGATCAAAAATACAGATTTATTTGTAAATAATATTGTAAACAATATGATAAATAATTAATTATTATGTATTTCGAGATAACTTTTTGTAATTTTAAAACAATCTGGACAAAGATAAAATTCATACTTAAAATTATGTTCATATTTGGGTACTATAATTTCGCATTGCAAACGACTCAAAACAAACTTTAGACAATCATGGCACCATTTTCCAGCTCTGAAATAATTTATGAGTACACTTAATCTTGCTCCCAAGTCAAGTTGAGCGCCATCTCTGATAGCTTGACTCAAAGCGTTCATATATTTCCTCTTGTTAAATTGCCTATATTCGCACGATCCGTGCATAAACTTAATAAATTCTTCTTCTGGAGATGAGCTCATATTCTGAAAAATTTTTCAAATGATTATTGAAAATGGGTGGAAATCAAAAATTCAACTTTTTGAACAAAATTGACCTAAATATCAAAATGTAAACTTTTAAAATATCAAAAATGTGGAGTATAAAAAGAGGGAAATTTTTGGAAAAAAATCATTCTTTAAAAAATGAATTCTCATTCCTCTTCCAATAAAGTAATCGATGAATGCACGCGAATTTTGGGGTGCTCTGCAAAATCTTTAAGAGACCACCTCAACCATCCTGATAACCGTGTGCTTATCTTTAAGGAAATATTAGGTCGAAAAGTCCAAACGACTTATGAAGATCAGAATGGCTTTAAGAAAACTTTTCGTATAGATAGCCTTACTCAACATGGAGGAAATTCTCTCGTTGCCTATGGGAGATTACCTTTTCCTTACAATGTGAGCGTTGCTGCTCACTATTATGCTCGACACAGGATTCGTTTACGTTATCCGTACTTGCAATGTGTCATTGATTGCCAAAAATGGCATTTTGTCTAATTCTATTTTCTTTGTTCTTTTGTTTTATTTTTAACAATTTTTGCTTTAAATTTAAAAAATTTTATCTTTCAGATTTTAAATTATTTTTTTATTATATCTGCCTTATTATTTTGCCTATAAATGGACAATCAACCAATTGTAGTTGATCCTTTAACACAAATTGATGAACAAACACTTCAACGAGCATTAATGGTTTATTTAAAATATTTTTGAAATTTTTAAAATTTTTTAGCGTTGGCTTCTATTTATTTCATTCAAAAGAGCATTTGAAAATTTTAAACAATTTACTCAACAACCAACATTTTTGGGGTCAATTTTACTTTTATTTTTGTTTAGCCCTTCTGCTATTGTTTTCCATTTATTTTTTAATGTTATTGGGCTTGGATTTCGTGATACTATTGTTGTAGGTTTTTTTTTATTTTTTAAATTTTTTATTCTAAAATTTGGGGGGATTCTTGAACTTTAGAGGAATTTTTTCCCTATTTTTGAACTTTTTCCCTATTTTCACTTATTTTACGATGGGTATAAGTTACTGGGACCTCTTACGGGGAATGAATCTATCACAAATTTAATGGCAAATGACTGTCTTGGCTGAATAGATACTTCAAAAATCCTGGAGTGGATTTTGGACCTGGATTTAGGTTAGTAAGCTTGACAGGATTCTTGATCTGGATCTAGGAAAAATCCAGAACGATCAAAAAGCCTGGATCTGGACTCTGAATCCAGAAAAAATCCAGACTAGATCCAGATCCAGACCGATCTCTAATTTACTGTGAGTATGACTTTGTTTTTTTGTACCATTCGGTAAAGAACTTACGACTTTTTATTTCGAAGTAATATCCCATTTTATTCTTTGGGCTTATCTGAAATAAGGGAAGAAATGGAAATAAGGGAAAAATGGGGTCCCTAAAATGAAAAATTTTTACTTTTTAAAATTTTCTTAACCAAAGCTTTTATAAGCTAAAAAAATTTTTCCCTGATATATTTTAACATTTTTTCTTCTTTAGTGTTCATTGTGCACTCCATTCGTTCTACTTATTATTTTATTTGTTGTTTATCTTCAATTTTCTGAGTCTCTCAGGCACTTTTTCTTCATTCGGGTATTTTTTTAAATTAATTTTTTAAAATTTTTACCCCTTTAAGATGATTAATTTTACATTTCCTGAGAACTATTCAACTATAGCAACCAACAAAAGTTTGGATTTTGCTTCCCCTTTGGTGGTTGTTTATGCATTGAAGTCTAAAGATCCGATGATTAGAGTTTGTTTTTAACGAATTTTCTGGTAAAATTTTTTTTTAGCTTTATGGTCTGAAACAACTTCAGAGGACTTGTTGTGGAACTCCAATGCAAAGGATACCGCTTTATTCCTTAAGCCAGCCAGGTTATTTTAATTTTTTTAATTTATTTTTTTGACTTGTCTTCTCTCTCTAGATTCCAATTAAGGTAGCAATCTTGACGATTTTTCTGGGTCCTCTCTCCCGACACGCCGTCACTAGAGAATATTAAACTGATATTTCCGCCCTTAAGCTAGACTTGCTACCTTAGTTTCAATTAAAACTAGTGACCGAGACTAGATCTCAACAAAAATCTTGTGATTGTTATTTTTCGAGATATCGACTGAATTCTACTATAACCCTCCTTGTCTGGTTTTAATCAAGACCCTGATCAATTAGATTTGCTTATCATTTTTCAAAAAAAAATTTTTTTCTTGACAATTTTTCACTCATCCTGTCCTAAATTCAAACTAAAATAACCCGAAAAATTTATTTTTTTGTGATATTTACCAGTTTCTTACTAAAATATTTAGGTGAACATCCACGTAATTGGCTTGCACTTCGTGAAGTTTCAGTTCAACTTATTCAAGATGTTATTTACCATTTACAACAACAAACTAAATTTCATTGTGTTGGCGTTGGAGGAAGAAAAGCAGCCATTGCTGAATTTATTGAAAAGGATGGTTCTTTTTCGGCTACTCCAACAGAGAATGTTTCGCCAACAATTGTTTTGAATGAGCTTTATGAGGGAAGGAGGTCTTTATTTATGCCACCAGCATTGAAACCTAGATCAGCAGGTTTTTATTTATTTGTTAATTGCTCTAGTTTTTAAATTAACTGGGTGCCATTGAATATTGGAATAACATTCTTTTACCTTAGTCTGGTCTGGAGTGTCGGTCGATGTTGTATTATAGAGATCGAGCTTTTTGAAAAGCCTGGTCTTGTTCCTCGTCTCTGGGTTTGATTTTTAGGTACTTTTCGGTTCTGCCACACCCCTCCCATATATTCGCAGGATATTTCCTTCATACGTACAGAATGGTCAGACTTCCTCCTTTCCAGGTGAAATTGATTGAAGGGAAAACTGAGTAAAAAATAATCTTTTCTTTATTAAATGCCTCTCATTAAACATACCACAGGGAAAATTGAGGGAATTGAATAAAGAAGAAAGCTATTTATTTATGAAGGAAAAATATAAAAGGTAATTTGCGAATATATGGGAAGGGTGTTGCAGAACCGAAAAGTACCGATTTTTAATATGGCCTGGATCATGGGACTGTAGTCCAGGATAAACCCAGGCTCAGGAAAAACCTAGGGAAGCCAAAAAATCACTGGGCATAGTCTCTGGGTACAGGAAAACCCCAAGCCTTGGTCCAGACCCAGCTCTATCTCTATTGGATTAAATGTCAAAAAATTGATTTGGAAAAATTTTGGGATTGTGTTTGGTATTTTTCGATTAAATATCAAGACTAAATTATCGAAAATTATTTTTTAATAAATTTTAAGGATTATTTTTCTCTAGGAAATTGAAATTTGATAGAAAAATTAATTTTTTTTGCTTCCATTAATTTTCTCAATTTTTAGAACAATTCCAAGCAGAACTCCAACCACGCAAAGTCATTCGCTTACCATTTTTTGTTGAAGCTTTGTTGTTAAAAGCAAGTCGACTTTTCTTTTTTCTTTTCCACTCACCAATTTTGGGAGCTTATGAGACACTTTGTGCACTTTTGGCTATTAAAGGTTTTTTTTCTAAAATATTTTTCTGAATTTAATTTAATTAAAAAAAAAACAGTTTTGTCACGTACAATAATTCATTCGATAGAAGAGGATCGTTTTGGAGTTGTTCAAAAAGATTTAAAATTGTGTATATCAAAATTGACACGTTTATCCATTGCTATTGATGCTTATGTTAGAGCTAGAGGAGTGGGTATTTTATTTTTAAAAATAATTTTTTACTCAAAAATATTCGTGAAAATTTTTTATTTTAGAGAAGTGCTACGCCTAGCAATATAAATCAATTTAATGTGCATCTTTTGGATGTGGAATTGGCTTCAGCACTTAAGGACATTAGAACAGTTTTTGCGCCATATATTGAGTAAATTTTTTAATTTTATTTTTTAACAATTTGCACCCAGGAATGTCCACAATTAAAAAAATTATTTAAATTTATAAAAGGTTTCGTGATGGGAGAGGCAGGCCCGTAGCCAGGATTTTTTTTCGGGGGGGGGGGGGGGGGGATTTTTTTACGCCAAATTTTTGGCGCCGAAGGCGCCAAAAATTTTTATTTTCAGCGCCGCAGGCGAAAATTTTGAGAATTTTAGAAGGCCGTAGGCCAAAAAAATTCACTTTTTCGGCGCCGCAGGCGCTAATATTTTGATTTTCAGCGCCGCAGGCGAAAATTTTTTGAATTTTGGACCTCAAGAAGCCAGATTTCTTCCTTTTTTAGCGCCGCAGGGGAAAATTTTTTAAATTTCAGAGGCCGTAGGCCAAAAAAAATTCACTTTTTTTGCCCCAGCCCTTCCCCAAATTTTTCCATTTTCCCATTTCGGGGGGGGGGGGGGAATTCCCCCCCCCCCCTCACCCCCCCCCTGGCTACGGGCCTGGGGAGAGGGGAGTTCTTAAGAGAGTGGGGGTTCTTAAAAGTCAGTTCTTAAGTCCGCAGTCGTAATCAACGATTGCGAACATTCACCTACATCATTCCAACAAATAGGATCTAACAAGGAAACCTTTCTAACTTTATGTAAAAATATTTAAATAAAAATTATGCAGTTGTGTGATCAACAACCTATTGCCAATTTTTAGTTTTTTTCAGACCTGGTCATGAATACGGATATGGATACAGAAAATACCAAAATGCCTGCGGATATCCATCTGTATCCGCCGTAAATATCCGGATACGGATATTAAAATCAGTATCCGTGACCATGTCTTGTTTTTTTTCTCCGACCCCCAAATCGAAAAGTTGTAGAGCTTCAAAGTTTCACATAGGTAACTGTCCGGGATATGCCGTCTCACCTCTCGCCGAATTTCGCCTCTTTTTTTAGGGTGTTTCGCCTTTCACTTTTTTTAAAAAATTTTTTTACACACCTCTGGTGCTCGATTCCAATAAAATTTTTCTCTTTCTTTAAAGTGATCTGAATCTTCACCCAACAGAAGCGGAAGTTTTTCGAATGCTCGTCTAAATTTGATGAAAAAAGGAATATTTTTGTCGCCTTTTCGATCTCTTCAAAATATTCTCAATTTTAAATCAAAAAAGTTATGTTTGTGCTATGGTTTACTTGAAAACTTGAAACCTTCAGGAATAAATTATTTTGTCAAAAAAAATTTTTTTTTAAATTTGATTACTTTGCGTTATTCTTCGCTTAATTATTTTTTTTTGACCTAGAAAACGAGCAAATTTTTCTTTAAATTTAAGCTTTTTATCTCTACTAATTTTTTTGATTCTCAAAATGGCTTCAACAAATTCCGAAAAACAGCGTCCCTTTGATTTTTCAAGGTACCCTAAACGAAGGATTGCAATAATGTTTCTTTATCTTGGTTGGGATTATGATGGGTTAGTTAAACAAGAAAATACCTTAAACACTGTAGAACAGGTTTTCTTTTGAAAATTTTTTATTTTAAATTTTTTCTGAAAAAATTTCCAGACGCTTTTCAATGCTCTAGTTCGCACAAAATTGATAGAATCAGAAGAAAATTGTGACTGGACGCGCTGTGGTAGAACAGACAAAGGAGTATCGGTATTTTTTAAATTTTCTAAAATTAAAATATTTTTGTATTTTGGCATTTCGACAAGTAGCGGCGTTGACTGTCAGGTTAAGAAAAATATTTTTTGAAATTTAATTTTGGAATTAAATTTTTAGATCAACAGATGTATCATGCGAATATTGTTTTTGGTCAGAGAGAAGCTCCGAGCCTGAACAACGTGTAAAATCAACACAAGAATTGCCTTATGTTAAGATGTAAATATTTTAATTTTGTTGGGGAACTTTTTTAAGTACGTTATTATTTATTGGGATAATGTTGGTGAATGTTCGCAAGCGTGGATTTCGACTGCGGATTTAAGAACTGACTTTTAAGCTGGCTTGGACACTTTTTCTTCAGAGCTTTTGTGATGACAGCTACTCTCTCGCATGAAAAAGACAGAAAGTATGGAGAAGTGATAGAAAAATACGGAGAAGAGAACATTTCTTTGGCTCCAGCTGACCGCTGGTCAGGTTTTCTACGTCTTTTTCATGTGAGAGAGTATGTAGCCGTCATCATAGAAGCTCTGAAGAGAAAAGCTCTGTCCAAGCCTACTTTTAAGAACCCCCTCTCTTAAGAATTCCCCTCTCCTTTCACGAAATCTTTTATAAATTGAATTTTTTTTTCGATTGCGGACAATCGGTGTAACCTGTTTAAAAATAATACTTTAAAGGCTCAATGGTGTTCTTCCCAAATCTATTCGTGTGATCGCTTTTGCTCCAGTTGACAAGGATTTCAGGTTATTTAATATATTCTTCAATTTTTCCGAAAAAAATTTTTTATTCAAGTGCTCGATTTGACTGTATTGAACGTGTCTATACATACATTTTCCCCATGGCAATGGCTACAAATTTGATGGTATTTTTAAAATCTTTTAAAAAATTCTTTAAAAATTAAATTTTTTAGGAAATCAAAAATGCCTGTCAACGTCTAATCGGATCACACGATTTTCGAAATTTTTGCCACATTGACAAAAATACTGGAAGGATTGATATGTCCTATATTCGAACAATTAAAGATGCTAAAATTGAAGAATTGGGAGAAAACAATTTTTCTTCTTCCAAAGAATTTAATCTTTTAAAATTAACAATAAAAGCGAGTGGATTTTTGTGGCATCAAATTCGATGTATTGTGACAATACTTTATGAGATTGGCTGTGGAAATGAAAAAGCGGAGGTTTTTTTTTTAATTTTAAAATTTATAAAAATTATTTTTTTAAGTTGATTGATCAACTTTTGGATGTTGAACTTTTTCCTTCAAGGTTTTTAAGTTAAAGGAAGTATCTAAATAAAGGCTGGATTTTGGGAATTTTTTTCTTAAAATTTTTGGGGTTTCATGTTATTTTTTATTTTAAAATAATATTTTACAAGGAACCTTATCAAACTGTGATAAAAAATTCCGAAATTATTTTTTCTTTTTTGACCCTTTCTCTCATTTCGAAAAGTTATAGGGGTCAAAGTTTTCAGGGGAAAATTTTAAAGGAATGGGAGGGTGACTTATAATTTATTTTCTCGAGTAGTTTTTAGTTTTTCCAATTTTAGAGGGATGAGAGGGGAAAATAAATGGTTTTAGCAGTCCCCTGAATTCTCCATTAGAGTTGTTCCGGGGAGACGGGGTACAAACGGGGTACAAACTCTCAAATTCCCTGAATTTCGCGGACTGGGTACACTCCTACTCGCCATGATGCTTTGGATACTTCCATAATTTTTTTAAAAATAAATTTAGTTTCTTTTTAAGGCCCCAATACAAACTAGCAAATGAATTACCACTTTGCCTATTTGATTGTACTTTTTCGGACGGTCAATTGGATTGGGAGTATGATAAGGGAACAATTTGCAGTGTTATTGGTAATTTATTCAAAGAATTTTTTAAAATTTATTTTCTAGAAATTTTACAAAAAATATGGGCTGAACATCAAGTCAAGTAAAAGAATTTTTTTTTAAATTTCCCAAAAGTTTTCTCTTAAATTTTAGAGCGTCTAATATAAGACAAATGCTTGAAGGACTTGGAGGAATGATCAATAATAAAATGGAAAATGGAGAGACTAGCAGGGAAAATGATATTAAAGGATTGGATGAATTTATTAGAAATGGACCTACTCCAAAGGTTTTTTTAAAAATTAATTGGAAATTTTTTGAGGAATTTTTAAAAAAATTTTTTTGGTACTTGCCCGTTATACGACCGCAAACTGAGTTCCAGCCGCCTTTGATCAGCTATAACTTTTTAATGTGTGATCATTCCTGATCCATCAAATTAAGAAAAAGGTACCGCTTATCGAGGGCTTTCGAATGATATAAAATTCATTTGTATTGGATCAAGGTTGAAAAGTTATGGCCGATTAGAGTCGTCTGGCATTCAGTTTGCGGTCGTATATAACAAGAAAATACCAAAATTTTTTAAACAATTTTTTTGAGATTTTTTTTACAAAAAAAAAATTCAAAATTTTCAAAACAAAATTTCGGAGAGTTTTTCAATCAATATTTTCGAATTTTAATAAAATATTTTTAAAATCATTAAAAAAATTTTTTTAAAGAAATATGAACAAATTGCAACAAGACCTCGTTGTATGGGCCTTTCAGAAATTCGTGATAAAATAAATAGAAAAAGAAAAGCAGAAGAAAATATTGAAGAACATTCTTTGGAAGAAATTAAAAATGAGGATGACTAAAAAATTTAAATTTTCAAGGGTAATTAATGTTTTTAAAGAATTTTAATAAACGAAAAAAATAAGCTGGGACAATAAATAAAAAGTTTACAAAATGTCTCAAAATATTTTAAAAGAAAAATTTTCTATAAGGTTTTTGGACATCTAAAAGGAATTTTTTTAAATTGCAAGGGACAAGTCAATAATCTCTAGATATGTGTGTCGCTGTTGTATCAAAAACTTCATCGACCCCTTCACTGGTTTTTGCTGGACATTAAACAAATTGTGTATTAATTCAAGCATAACTAGCAAAAAAATGTGGCACGCGTCTCACGCGGGCGCATACATTAATTCCTTTGAAAAAGCTTGTCTGAATTTTACTTTCTATCGCTAAACAAAGTTTTTCAATTTATCGACACCCTAATAAGGACCAGCTCTAAATTTGGCATATAAAAATATAAGAATGCGAAGAAAAAAGTCACATTTTTTGAAATGGAGCAATTAAAAAATTTCAGATTCATGTCAATGGCGAACAGACGTGGGCGAAACGTTTCGTTTCGTTTCGTTGTTTCGTTAGTTTCGTTATGTTTTTTCCTGTTTCGTCTCGTTTCGTGACGAAACACTTTTTAATTTGATTCGTTTCGTTTTGTTAACGAAACACCTGTGTTTCGTTAACGAAACATTAGGTACTTTTTAAGCCAAAATATCACTTAAAAACTGAAAAATTTTCCACTTTGGTGATGGAAATTCAAAAAATTTTTGCCTGCGGCGCTGAAAAATGAAGAAATCTGGCTTAAGGATCTATTTTCGTCTGCGGCGATGAGAAAGGACCCCCTCGTAAACCTACTCACTGATGACCATTAGGTTTTTTTTCAGGGTCATTAGACCCTGAAAACTTACAAACTTTTGATCAACACCATTTTTTGTTTTTATCTCTTTACAAGTTTAATCAGTCGATCTGTAGGATTAACGGAGCTAATGAGGGGTACAGAGTTGACCCCCTTTTTAATTATCTTTACAGCCCGTACTGGGAGTATCCGCAGATTAATCTTTTTGCATATTTTGGAGGGAAGGACCTTGGCTTAATAATCAATTACTCATTCGGTAATGCGACAATTTCGACCAATCCCGATCCCGTGTCGGGATTGGTATCACCATTCCAAAATCCAGATCCCGGTTTTTCTATAAATCCCGATACGCTGAACTCTAGATTTAGGTGAGATTAAGAGAAAAATTGGCTAATGTGACCACAATTTATGGTCCACATAATTTTACGATCACTTATATGTCATAATTGGCCAATTAACATGCTTAAAATTGTGTAGTTAATAAAATAATCCAGATTTTTGAGATTTTTTTCGAAATTAAAATGTTTCGTTTTGTTTCGTTTCGTTAAATTTTGACTGTTTCGTTTCGTTTTGTTAACGAAACGATTTTTAAAAATTTTTGTTTCGTTTCGTTTCGTCCGAAAAAAATTTGGAGTTTCGCCCAGGTCTGATGGCGAACTTTAATTTTACTTAAAAAACGAGAATGTAAAGACATACACATTGTGTTAGAAAGGATAGAAAATTTAAAGAATAAGATAGAACTTCAATACTATAACGTATTTTGTTTTTGCTCTTCTTTTTAATAACAAATTTAATCTAACATCTTTTCATCATATTCAATACTCAATTCCTTGAAACAGATTTGGGATATTCCTCACCACGTTTTCGTTTACGTTGGCGTGGTCGGTTTGGCCCATGCTGGTTCTGTCGACTAGTTCCCGTAATTGAATGGTCTACTTTAAACATAAAATGATTTTTTCTTTTAATTTTATTTTGTTTAAATACGATTAGTTCCCAA